TCAACAATCGAAAGAAGTGACATAACATGTAAGTTGTAATACATAGATATATATAGTTTATATTCAAAATCTTCCGCTGGATTTTATGAAGGACTACATATGTTCGAATACATTACAATATCCATCTAAAGCCAAGTTTACATTGCCAAAAAGTAACAAATTAAAACCAATTTGCATATTTAAGTTATTTAAAGCTTGAAGCATTACTGCACGAGCATTTGAATAAAATTGGCACTCAAAAAAGAAATGATAAGCATTTTCACAATTTACAGAGTTAAAATCCTGAACTTAACTAACATGGAAGAGAGCATCTTTAAGAGAGCTACATTGATGTCTTAATCTAGTAGTTATAATAATTATTTTTCTTTCACTATACCTATAGTAGCAGAGCTGACTTGTGGGAATATGCTGATATTGAGTTAGTTTAAACGATAGCCTCTCATTTATGGTAACATGTACAAAGAATCTTTGTGGCTTCATTAGCAGCGCTACCTGGTGTTACAGCCTGATACGTCTTATCTTCGGCCAACATAACACCTACACGACAATGATGGAAGAGTTATGGTTAGCATTTACACTAACATCTAGACACCTGTCGATGAGAAAAGTTTATAAGATACGAAAAGTCTCGTCAAGTCGTATGTCCTACCGATGCACCTTTTTTTTTATAAACTGACGCTATACATGTACTGTGTAGGAGATAAACCGTTACGTCATCATCTTACGAGCACCGACACCGCAAGAGCATTACTTCATCAACTTACGTGTACTTGTACTTCATCAACTTACGTGTACTTGCTGACGTTCAAGAACCACTGGTCAGCGAAGGGGTGCTTTCGGGCTGGTCACACGTGATAGACTAACTCTTTCGATATCTCGGACTGGCCGACATTAATTGCTTTTATAAACATAAAACTAGTGATTTATAGAACGCAGACTCTTTATGGCACAGGCCACTAAATTGAAGACATCTTAAAACGAGCGAAAGCCATTCTTTTTCAGTGACGGGTATCTCCCAAGGAGATAATAGCCATATAAAACATCACGGCCGGAATATACTGGAGATGGACACTCTTTGGAGCAGGGCAGGATGCAATTGGACGAAACCCGTCCATAAAGTATGGGGTATCTGTTAATGATGACTCGTGGTTCGTCGTGCTAAAGTGACGGTTCCATATGCTCGCTTGCGGAGATTAATTATACGGTTTTACAGGTCAGTCATCGTAGATTGTGTTTTGATCCCGTACATTACCCCCTCCCCTCTCCCATTCTTCTCCCACTACCAACAGACAGAACTACCAACAGACAGACATGGGGGCACAAGCAGCCATTAAACACTACAGACGACAATCGATTCAGGTTTGATAATTATACGGAAATGTATTTGCATTACCCGACGAAGGTCAAGAGAAGTTCAATAATGGCATTGGTGATACAATAAAGATTGAGAAATAGAGTTTAATCAACAGAAGATTTGAATTGTAACCATCCATACTTAAAAGCGTTGCTCGTATTCAACACCGAAGGCGTCTTTCGAATCCAATTAAAATCACACAAGCAAATACAACTGTCGATGCATCTCAATGACGAGATCAACAAATTAATCGGAACGCAAACAACATCACTTACAACCTTACAGGATATTCCTGTTATCCGACTTCCTCGGGATCAGAACATTATTGATGGCTCTCACTTCCGGTTACGAGTAAGAGAAAGAATGTTGATGCCTTTCTGAATCGCTCTCGTCGCAGAAATTTTATACACACAGCAAGAGACAAAAAACCCAGCGGAGAATTAAAACAGAAGCTTATGTGGACAAAATAGACAACAACGAGAGTAAAATAGCCCGTCTAGATGCCGGATTTTTATGTAATGGTTGTCTTTATGTCTACATGCTTAGTAATTCAACACCAGGGAGTCTGAACATTTCAAATAAGAAAGTAACAATACATCAAAGAGAGCCGCCAGGTAGGGCAGGTGTAGGTCATATATGTCGTCTTACCTGGATGCACGGAAATACGAGATAGGGAAATCCAGCTTCTACGTAATGGATGATTTCGCGTTCTAACAGAACGTTATTGTTTGTGGACTGACACACGTGGGATAATTACCTCCAACGCATGTATAAAGTAAAGATCACTGCCGGAACTCCATAGACAGACAGGAAACCTGATACATGTCGGCTAGAGATGTTCAGAGAAAAAAGATGTTCAGAGAAAAATGAATGACTGTTACATACTTACATGCTACATATAATCGTGGGTGGAATTAAGGCCACATTTTAACAAGTCGCTAGGACGCGGTGCGAATATCATTTCAATTGGTCCATGAGGATTCAGGACAATTCAGTTTTTGACAAGGTTATTAAGTATTTGTATCATTGCCGTGTAAAACTGTAACAAATTATCACGTCCCTGTGGTACCACGTATCGTGTTGTAGACAGGTATGTCCCGCCACATACAAACTGTACTAGAAATCACTCATTAGGGAGCCCCTGTACATTGTATTACCACGGTATTACTATGGTAATTGTCTCGGTACAACCGCTAGGCTATGATTAACAAGACCACCTTGACACTATACCGACATAATTAGGTGATTGGCGTACACAACAACTGGACCGGTAGCCCAGCCCAAGGTTGTACCTGCACTGGTCGGAACCTCGCACGTGCGGACCCCGTGCGTCCTGCCAGATGGCCCCACAAAAATCGACTTGCAATTACTGTTTATGCCGCATTGCACATGTTGATATGATATTATAATCGATGGCTCATCAAATTAGAAAGAGGATCCCAGGACAACAGTAGGGTGCTCGTATATAGCCCTGTGCTGTCTGAATGCCCCAGTTGGACACGTGCACATGCATAATGACGCCTACATGTATGATATGCCTATAACATGCCTATACGGCTGAATTTGTTTCAATACCACAATTGGATGATGTCTGTATAATATTCCCAAACAACACGTATATTGCTGAATAATTGTTGAAATCGACAGTCCCGGTAGGACACGATACTCTTGCTAAATGTTATAATACGATTATTGTAAGGGTAGTGTAGGCTAAGTGTTCGCAAGGGGCCGGGGTAATGCTGATTGCTTGTAAGGGCCAGATAGCGCTGACTGTCTATAAGAGTCCAATAGAAGTGTCGTGTTAGTAAGTGCTGAATGTTTGTATGGTCGACCTTTGTAAGACTCCGGTAGTAGAGTGATATGTTTGTAACGGCCTGATAGTGAGGATAGTTTGTAAGGGTCCGGTAGTGCTGACTGTTTGTAAGGGTCTGGTAGTGCTGACTGTTTGTAAGGGTCCGGTAGCGCTGACTGTTTGTAAGGTCCGGTAGTGCTGAATGTTTGTAAGGGTCAGGTAGTGCTGACTGTTCGTAAGGGTCCGGTAGTGCTGACTGTTTGTAAGGTCCGGTAGTGCTGAATGTTTGTAAGGGTCAGGTAGTGCTGACTGTTTGTAAGGGTCCAGTAGTGCTGACTGTTTGTAAGGGTCCGGTAGCGCTGACTGTTTGTAAGGTCCGGTAGTGCTGAATGTTTGTAAGGGTCAGGTAGTGCTGACTGTTTGTAAGGGTCCAGTAGTGCTGACTGTTTGTAAGGGTCCGGTAGCGCTGACTGTTTGTAAGGTCCGGTAGTGCTGAATGTTTGTAAGGGACTGGTAGTGCTGACTGTTTGTTAGGGTCCGGTAGTGCTGACTGTTTGTAAGGTCCGGTAGTGCTGAATGTTTGTAAGGGTCAGGTAGTGCTGACTGTTTGTAAGGGTCCAGTAGTGCTGACTGTTTGTAAGGGTCCGGTAGTGCTGAATGTTTGTAAGGGTCTGGTAGTGCTGACTGTTTGTTAGGGTCCGGTAGTGCTGACTGTTTGTAAGGTCCGGGAGTGCTGAATGTTTGTAAGGGCCCGGTTTTGCTGAATGTTTGTAAGGGTCCGGTAGTGCTGACTGTTTGTAAGGTCCGGTAGTGCTGAATGTTTGTAAGGGCCCGGTTTTGCTGAATGTTTGTAAGGGTCCAGTTGTGCTGACTGTTTGTAAGGGTCCGGTTGTGCTGAATGTTTGTAAGGGTCTGGTAGTACTGACTGTTTGTTAGGGTCCGGTAGTGATGACTGTTTGTAAGGGTCTGGTAGTGCTGACTGTTTGTAAGGGTCCGATAGTGCTGACTGTTTGTAAAGTCCGGTAGTGCTGAATGTTTGTAAGGGTCCAGTTGTGCTGACTGTTTGTAAGGGTCCGGTAGTGCTGAATGTTTGTAAGGGTCTGGTAGTGCTGAATCTTTGAAAGGACTAGGTATTGTTTGATGTTTGTAAGGGATTGGTAGTGCTAAATCTTTGTACGAGTCAGGTAGTGCTGAATCTTTGAAAGGGACCGGTTGTGCTGACCGTACTTATAAGAGTACTTATAAAGGACTAGGTATTGTAATAATGTTTGATGTTTGTAAGGGATTGGTAGTGCTAAAACTAAAGGCCCGGTATTACTTATTACCTATTCTAGAGGAAAGCGACCAGTAATTAGCATAGCAATCTGCATAATAGTCGAAATGTGATGTTCCCACTACTACATTTTGTATTTATGTAACATATTGTGTATACTGCCCCGGGGGTAGCGTATATATTGTGTATACTGCCCCCGGTGTACGGAATATATATCGTGTGCATAATGACCTCAGGAGTAGGGAGTACAACTATACATACAGTCATACTGTTACATACTCGGGACTTGTATAACAGCGACAGTTCAGACCAACCAGCCTCCTAATGTGTTGTAAATCCCCTTCATCACGTATTAATGATTTCGGTAATTTGGTATTTTACACAAATTGTTTGCTGCGAATCCGACATTTAGCAATCATACAATACAGAGACTATACATCCAATACAACAAAATCTATAACCAACCCAAATCTACACAAATTCTATCTGAATGTATATAGCCTTCGGACTGCCTGCTAATATGTCTCCTCTATTGTCAGTGGTTCTAACTATCTACAATACCACATCTTCATAAATCTTACCTTTCTTTGGAGATTTTTTAATCCTCGGAAGTGAGTTGAACATTTTGTCAATTGTTTGTGTGTGTGTGACACTCTCCTAAATCGGAAATAAATCCGTTCACTAGTTAAACATTCCTTCACGTGCTAATTCAACAAGTGTCCATTGTCCAAAGTATGTCATGCACGTGTAATATCAAGCATAACCATCCGCCAATTAACGCTTGCCAGAGAGCGAGTGATGAATGGAACAATTGCACTAGACCACACGCGTATGCACGTACCTTACACGTCTAGTGCTAAACAGGCGTCAAGGTAACAATTGGCGGGAAAACAATTGATGAAGCAAGCAAATTGCAGCATCTGTACCCAATGTGTGCGGTAGGGAGTGTGTGCAGCACGGCGCTGGGATGCGGATGCTGACAGGACCTGGGCTGACTTACAGGTCCCCGTGTCAAGGTGATGTTCCCAGGCTTAGTAAGTGATGGGAGCACTCCGGCGTGACCGAATCAAAACACCCCGTCTATGTCACACGTAAAGTGTCTATTCGGGCACCATAAGGACATGCCAAAAGTTTGTAAAATGTATCCATGGAGTAATCACAAGTAATAGGCTAACCACAGTTATTCCCCATCCTTTGGCATACACAGGTCCACAGCGGTAACGTCTCTCTGTCCGCGACCGTTTGTCCCATTCACTTTACACTACGAAGTCTGGGAGATATATTTACGCACTTAACGCTGTTTCGTGGTGTAACTATTGTTGATTTTACGACCAATAACTTAACTTATTAGTGCATAGTTATACACACAATCCCAGTGAGACGAGTACACACGGATGAACAGTCGCCAATTACAAACCTACTACCAACGCCCTCATGCTTGGAGTTCCCACGAGGTTTCAACGTTACTCATTTCCACGAACTCAAAAACGTTTTATTCGAATATACAAAATGTAACTAATGAAACACTGACTATCCAATATTGTTGATCACCTACACTAGTTCGTCCAGACGTTTCCAGTCACTTTTTTACCGGGAAAACCCGTGACATTGATGCTGCATACAGATATTGGTCACCACAGCTAACAGTGTCCTTGGGTGTATAATGCATCAAGTAAACGCCCTTCATATACGCATCAAGGTCGGACACTAATGTACAGTACGGCGTCAACACAGCTTAAACCGTTTAAAACTTTTAATAGGTCCAAAAAGAGTTTAAGATGGACAGCAAAATTATCATAATCAGTTCCTGCAACCTCCAATATACATGCGACAAAAATTCCAAAGTTAACGACGATTAACACTTACTATATCGAATACAGTTTCCATAGAAAAATGTTAACATGTAAAACTTATTAAACATCTCCAAAAGCTAACACAGGAGATAACAAAACAAACGTGTAGTTTTCCGTGTAGTTGATTATCGTTGTCTGTTGGCCTTGTCCAAACCAATGTGCCTTTGCTCGGTAGCCAAATTGAAGCCACGCCGTATCTGACGTTTGCGGAAGAGTTTAAATGTTACCACTCGAGCCAGATATACAAAAACATGAACTCCACGACTATTTATCTCTAGAAGTTTAATTACTATCCTAGTGCTATCAGCTGTCGACTCTGCTTTGGTGCACTTCAAGGAGGCGAATCTAAGAGGGTCACAGGTTCTCATAGCCTTGGAAAACCTGGTATAGGGTCAGACACAGGGGCTTGTAACGTGTACAATGAGTATTTCATACACAGGCGCCTGCATGCCATAGTAAAAAGGCCATACACACATAGCATGAGTGCATCATGAAAAGGTCTTACAAGAGGCCCTTGTAACATGCAAGAGTGTGAATGGCAATGAGGGCCAAGGGTCAAACATTCCGATACCCATTAGCATCCTTACAGAGGCTATTCGCCTACTTATAGTGTTGACGGTCTGTAACAGACCTGATCTCGGTCGGACTTGGGTAGAGGCGATCCTGAACCAGAGATAATACGTTTCTGAAGTATCAAACCAAGCTCAAATAATGTTTTCCTCATTTTTACTCTAATGGCATTACATAATATTTGTTTTCAGTTTTCAATATATATCTATTCATTTGAATGCGACCGTGGGGATCTGACGATGACAATTTCGCCATTGTCTGATAATACCGATTAAGATTTTTTGGACCATGCTGTCGTTTTTACTCACGAGACTTATAAATGTTTATATACCTATATATATCTATGGTTATGCATGCATCTTAATCCGTACTCAACACTAGTGTTTTCTTTTAAAGGATTTAGTTTTTGTCTGGTTTGCGATAAACTTTGGTGATGGGTAATTCGATAAGTGTGGCAAAAGGCGGTTACTCGCTTTGACAGGAAGATGGTTACAAAGGGCGGCCCAGCACTGTGTAAGGAAACCGGTACAAAGGGCAGATCTATAATCCCAGTGAAAGGGAGATGGTTATGATAGTGCGGGATCGCAATGTATCTGATCCGAAAGGAGAACTTACGTTATCAGTTATATAGGTTAAGACGTGAACCTGTGAAGTCAGCAACTGTCAGCCACTGTATCAGGCACCGTTCTGTTTCCGTAATCCTCGACCCCGATACACTACGCTCTACAACACTTATAAATAATTACACCGTGTTTACACAGAGAAATATTTCACATGCATCAGTCTACTTACTGTTTACATCACACGTGGCATTGTGACTCACCACCCATTATTTTTAGTTGACATAAAACTGCTCATCATTTTTTTTATATACATTTTTTTTTGGGCGTCACAGACGAGTCTTATTCACGCTGAATGCCCTGAATTACCACCCTAACTGGTTCTGAAGAAGGTTGATCTGCGCCCGGTGTTAAATACCAATCAGTGTTGTGGTTTACGAGAGCTTCCTCCTCCGAACCATGTGATACCACTTGAGATACGCAACAGACCAATAGCTAATCATAAATACCATTTGGAATCCACTTATAGATAATCAAAGTACGATTGTTGTGCTGCAATTCACAGCTGTTGAAAAGCAAAAGCAAATGTGTATATGGATTCTCGTCCAATCTACTGTTAACACGGGAGACAATATAACCAGGGGCCTTGTACATGTGAATTTGTCATTCTTGTGTTACAGGAAAGAGAGTAGTGTGCTTCCTACGTGGGTCGAACCCGCAATCCCGGACTTCCTAGCGGGACGCTTTACCGCTTCACTAAAGGGAAATTCCCTCTGGCGCGAAGCTGGGAGGCGTCCGTAATCATACGTACAAATAAAATCTGTCACACGACTCCCCTCTTGTATAATGTGTTCGCCCTCGAACACCAAAACAACCCATGTTTTACCCCGTAATGTGCTTCCACCGGGAATCGAACCGGCGATCACAGACTTCCTAGTCGGACGCTCCACCACTGAGTTAAAGGGAAATTCCCTCTAGAAGGAGACCGTAATCATATGTACAATTAAAATCTGCAACACTTGTTTGATTTTAAGTAATTGTACCCCGGATAAAACATCGGTATTTGGTAAAAACCAAACACTATGTGTTTTCCGCCCTCTTATCTTAAACATGTACATATGGTATCGCCGAGGGTGTTCTGCAGTGTTTGATTTGGTTTGTTTGTACATTACGTCCTATTTACAGCTATGGTCATTTAAGGACGTGCCAGGTTTTGATGGTGGAGGAAAGCCGGAGTTCCCGGAGAAAAAACCACCGACCTACGGTCAGTACCTGGCGACTGTCCCACGTAGGCCACGATCCCGCGACCCAGTGGTGGAGGGCTAGTGGTAGCAGAATTTGTCACCGCGGCCCCCTACAGCAGTGTCTACGAACCTTGGTTTACCTTCCCACCTATCTATATAATGCGGATTAAAAACGCTTCAGATGAAATTCTGTCATGTGTATACTTATTCAAAGTTAGCAATGAATTTCTGCAACTCTTATCAATGACTACGGTATTACATATCAATCAAACCGAATTTTAATCAAATATTACGAACCTGATTTTCCAACTCATTGCATGCGATGTATTGCTAAGAAATGTTACCGTCTTAGTTCCACGATTCTGAGCAGAAGTGGAGAAAATCAGTTTTCAACATTTTGTTACCGTCCTTGAACAAAGCGTTAGTAGTTGTTGTTGCAGGTTGGTTTAAAACATGCGTCATTACGTAACTTTAGAAGGAGGTGTCTGATGACACGTAGTCATGTCAGTAACGACATCGGAGACAGGTGTGAATCAGCTACTCACCTGGCCTGTATCATCTCTACCTCGTTAGATCACAGGGACCTAAGAGTTAGGACACGATTGGTATTTTTGATACATTTCCTGGTATGTAGAAGGGTAAAGTTAGACGTTTTACGTGTTCATGTAAACCTCTGCCTCGTTGATCGGTAAAAAAAAATTGGCGACCAATGAGACGCCAGCTTTAGTCTCATTCTGCCATGAAAGTAAAAACATGGCCCAGCTCTACACCCTGATTATACACATTCCTTTGGACTGGCAGTTCTGTCTGATGTAGACCTGAATACCAAAATCGTCTCACATAAATCCTTAACAGCACTCTTAATTCTCATGTCCCTGTGGTGAGGTCGTGCTCTACCTGCCCAGATTAAGTCGATCACGCAAGGTAGAACCTTACAATTAAAAAAAGGTATCAACATACCAACTCACTGGCAACACTGTGTGGCGAGACTGCTGACACTTCCGGTTTCTAGGTGTTATGGCGGTGACTGTCATTGTGGCACGCCGGTGACATCTCACGGAGACCTTCCCTTCCAGACTGTGATGTATTAGTGCGCATACATGATCAAATCTAAGGTATAAAACGGATCTCTACAAGACGCCGGTCTCATGTGTCACATAGCAAGCAGTTCTACGCCTGATGAAACAACCTCAGCATCACCAGAACCGCCGATACGGAGACCCGCCCAGCACCACCATAGGGGGCAGTATTAAATCTGCCGACACAACTAGCGATAAATCTCCCAATTTTAGGCGATAGACACGGCCACTTAACGCCCATTGTCGTGAAACAATAGACAGACTAGATAAAATTGACATCCGCTCACCGGCGATAAGGCTGCACGCAAAAAAAAAAAAAAAACAGGCAATAGAACCTCATAGCCATATTTATTACACGTCATTAAAACACGTGCGTATGATGAGCTGCACTAGCTGAGAGAGTCGTGCAAACCAACCGTACTCCACTGGAAAGCACCAATGCTACGAGTGTTTTGACAGTAGTGCTATAGTGCTATATTTGGGAGTTGATAGCAGTGCACGTGCTATATTGTAAAGTTGATAGTTTTATCATTATATGGTGTTAACAGTTGTGCTATATGAGGGTGTTGGGTATATATATGTAGTTGTGCTATATAAGGGTATAGGGTATATACATGTAGCTGTGCTATATTAGGGTATTGGGTATATACATGTAGCTATGTTACGTTGTGGTATATTAGGGTATTGGGTATATACATAAAGCTGTGCTATATTAAGGTATCGGGTATATACATGTAGCTATGCTTTGTTGTGGTATATTTGGGTATTGGGTATATACATGTAGCTATGCTATGTTGTGGTATATTAGGGTATTGGGTATATACATATAGCTGTGCTATATTAGTGTATTGGGTATATACATAAAGCTGTGCTATATTAGTGTATTGGGTATATACATAAAGCTGTGCTATATTAGGGTATTGGGTATATACATAAAGCTGTGCTATATTAGGGTATTGGGTATATACATGTAGCTATGCTATGTTGTGCTATATTAGGGTATTGGGTATATACATGTAGCTGTGCTATATTAGTGTATTGGGTATATACATAAAGCTGTGCTATATTAGGGTATTGGGTATATACATAAAGCTGTGCTATATTAGGGTATTGGGTATATACATAAAGCTGTGCTATATTAGGGTATTGGGTATATACATAAAGCTGTGCTATATTAGGGTATTGGGTATATACATATAGCTGTGCTACATTAGGGTATTGGGTATATACATAAAGCTGTGCTATATTAGGGTATTGGGTATATACATAAAGCTGTGCTATATTAGGGTATTGGGTATATACATATAGCTGTGCTATATTAGGGTATTGGGTATATACATGTAGCTATGCTATGTTGTGCTATATTAGGGTATTGGGTATATACATGTAGCTATGCTATGTTGTGCTATATTAGGGTATTGGGTATATACATGTAGCTATGCTTTGTTGTGGTATATTTGGGTATTGGGTATATACATGTAGCTATGCTATGTTGTGGTATATTAGGGTATTGGGTATATACATATAGCTGTGCTATATTAGTGTATTGGGTATATACATAAAGCTGTGCTATATTAGTGTATTGGGTATATACATAAAGCTGTGCTATATTAGGGTATTGGGTATATACATAAAGCTGTGCTATATTAGGGTATTGGGTATATACATAAAGCTGTGCTAT